GTCGAATTTTCAAATCAAAAATGTGTCCACTCCAACTCACATGCTCTAATCTCGAGCTCCGTCCGACTCCCGGCCGGTACAGTCTGTCTCGAGTCTATTATATTCTCCAATCGCGAACTATATATGAGAATTCCCTTATGACGCAGTAGCTGTGGAACCTGTGAATACAAAACAATATGACACTTCATATAATTATATGCTATTGATGAGATTATATTATTGCGGAGCGAGCGAAGCGTATTCTCTCACTTCACGATAACTCTGCGCGTGCGTGCGTGCGTGCCGTATCGATTACATCACTTATATTACATAGGTTTATTGTAATACTATATACAGTGATACCTATTTATATATAATTATAAATAGTAAATATGCACATGATCACCGACATGTGTTGGTGACAAAAAATTGTGAGGAAATCTTCAGTGGTTTCTCTACACTCCTACCCGAATTCGCCTGTAAACTTGTATAACTGGTGAAAAACTCCTAAACTCAGCCGAGGGAAGCGAACATATATTTTTCCAAAACTGTTTGACAATGCAGATGATGACACTCTCCTTATAGTACTACTGCTCTACATAACCTCTATTACTCGAAGTAACACCCACTCCAATGCGCTCTAAACTTCATATTAGAAATTTCATTGCAAATTCCAAAGTTGGCTGAGTTCAAATGCCTGATATAAAGTTAGAATTGAGGTTCCACCTTTTTCACCGCCACTATGGAGGCACTCACCCTATAATCAGGGAACATCGTCAAAGCCCTCATGTCTCGAAAGTTGAGCTTCTCTCTCACACTCTTCCCATCACGCCTAAATGCTCCCCAAATATCCGCTGTGCATATCTGGGCTCGTTTATATAGGAACACCTAAACTCCCACATAAAGAGGTCATCTCCTAACTGTACGTTATTCGACCTGTCCGCCAGTATCAGGGTCGATAGCTTGATCTCTGAAGCCAGAGAACTGAGCCGATAATATTCGCATAAGCCGCAACGCAGACCCATCAGCCGACTCGACCAGTTCCAACGCTGAGGCGTGATATTTATCTCGAAGGCCCCTGGCCACTTCCCGAACTAGGCGGACTCTCTCGCTGATCCTAAAAGCGGATCAGTGATGTACACTCTTCGAACAGTCGCGGAAGCTCAAGATGGAGCGAATCTGCTACTACTGCAAAACAGAATAAGTGCGGAGCGAAGGAGCGAAATATATCGCAATTCGTATCATTTTCGGTCTGCGGACGAATTATCATTATACCACAAGTTGTGATCCACAAATGGAGAGAATTTCGAGAGCTAAATGGACGGCTATAACTAGAAAAATATAAATATCTCCACCTCAGTTTTCAATTGACCGGAAAATGGTTGGTACGATGATGACGAGCGAAACGCCTTTCTGTCAAGGATTCGATCGCTACTGAGCAGCATAATCTCACCAAACAACTCACAATGGGAATTCCTGAGGCCTCCATCCGTCCTTCTCATTCACTATCCCAGCACCATGATTGAACCAATCACAGATCTCATCAGCTGTTACCTCAGCGAGACGGTCCATCTTACACCACTACGTAAGGAAATCGATCAAGGGCAATCACAGCTGAGCCGATTCCCAACATGAAAACTTATGGTACGCCCTCGAGTGGTTTACTACAACCCCTATGAAAGAGCCACTCTCGACACAGTCAATATCTCGCACATCATCGCAGCAGCTCTAAGGTCGATCAAGCTGAAATAGTTTTTCCGCCAAATTTCGAGTGGAGTTGTTTTTCCGAGAAAAAAACTAACCAGAAATTTGGCCACTACTACCAATAAACTACCACTGGGTGAATGCAATCGCAGTTGTTACATTCTGCCTAGTTCTCAATCAACCGGGGCGTTTAAAGCTCACCTCGGACCCCTGAGGGCCAGTGAGAGCCCACTTCACGCCATTACCCAACTGCTCGTATTCGAAGTTCCCAGCTGGCCAGAAACAGAAGTTCATACAATCCAATAGCAGAACGTACCTTATAGACTACCATGTGGCTACGAATATCTCAAGGAGTGGTATGATACAGCGCCTTCATAGTATTACAATGCTGTGAGTTCTGCTCCATCATCAGTGGTGACATCAACAATTAAATGACAGTCACATTGGTCCCACGGTCTAGCGGCGGTCTTAGCATCCCCCCTTAGAGAATCTGCAGAGGTTCGGATCTGGTTCTGTGATACTTTTTTAAACCTACGCGCGAAGTCCGCGAGTGCCTTGGTATTGATGGTAACATCATGAGCCGTCCTCACCACGTCCTTGGTAGAAATGAGTACTTCATTCGGCGTCGCTGCCTCTACCATTGCTACTTCCAAACGTGCTACTATAGAACGATTATTTCCGGCTGATATCCCTTGGGTTAGTTTTTCCCCAGCATAAACGTTCTTGATTATATAATCGTCAAAATCGCTCCGCTCAGGTATGTGTTCGTACATGTTATGTATGTAGGGGTCTTCCACCAATGACAATAACAATTTTTATTTTTATTGGTTCTATTCTTATAATCAGTTATAACACACGTTGGTTGACTATTAGAGGTCTCGAAGCAATGGTTGATGGAACATAGAGATTCTATCTACAGTCATAATCATCAAATAGTTTAATCGAGTTGAAGCTAAGATTCCGTAGCTGTGCGTTCTACACAATTACAGACCTCAGCTCATTCGATTCCCTGCAGGGTCTCGCAGCAAGCAAAGTAAAAGGCGCGATTTCGTACTACACTCATCGCGGTGACGATTTCACAGCACACTGATAGAAGGTGAACCGATTCAGGGTGGATTGACAATTGAACCGATTGAAAGCTTCAGCAAATTTCACATTTTTGGACTTCTCTTAAGAGGACGTCGAGAATCGCACAGAGCCTCTTTTCGAGTGACGTATCCAGGATTAGAACCCGGGACCTCCTCCGCAGAGATGTGGGAAGTATGTCCCACAAAAGCGCATGACCTCGTTTATAGAATTATACATGTTTACACACGAATTCGGTTCGAAATGTATCTATACATTGTTTCTAAACAAGTGAGAATTTCCCGAAATTCCCTCTGAATTTCCGCACTCTCACCGAGTCGGTGACACCGACCATGTGCATATTTTCCGGCATTGTTTCCGACACACCACGTTTGACTTATATTTTTCCTATCGATTCATACCATCTCTCATACATATCAATTTCCAAAGCGATCGGCCCTCCACCAATATGATTGTGTTATAATACGCCTACGTAGAGTCGGGTATACTTACGAAGTATAGTTTGCTGTCTGTGGGTACGCGTGCTGCTAACTGTTGTTGCACGCATACCCTAGTTCTGACAGAAATCCCTCCATGTTGTTGCGTTCACCACTTTGTCTCTGTAGCATTCTGAGGACCGTCCCGGATATGCAATAGGAGTCTTAAGGCGATAGGCTATAATATTTTGGACATAACCCATTCACAATTTCGAGTGTTTTTGACCAGTGTGGGAAAATATGCAAATGATCAACTACATATGTTGGCGACAATATGAGAATTTTGTGGAAGTTTTGGGATATTCTTATTGGTCTCTGAACACTTCTACCCGAATTTGAATGTAAATTCCTATAATTAGTGACACTAATTTAGTGTGGAAACTTTTGAGCTCAGCTGAGGAAAGTACACATATATTCCTCGCCTGATGATTTGGAGGGCACGAAGTGCTAGGAAGTGCAAATACACGAGCTAAGAGCGCACCAATCCCATACCCCATACCCCATGGCATGGGGCCCATGCCCAATCCCATAGGTGAACAAGCATGAATGAGGCTCAACTCTGCCGTGCGAGTCTGTTTCAGAATGATTGACAGCTCCAATCAGGTGCCCCGTTGAGCATGATGCCCGAGCATCACTGATAATGTTTCATTGCCGACTCGGCAGTGTCGAGAAAGCAGAACATGAGGATTTTCAGGTTTGTAAGGAGGCGCAAGTCGGCGCTACTGCTACGGGAACGGGATGAGATGACGAATCATTCCGCAGTTGATCTATTTTGCGCCCGTGAGGGTTCGCTTGGACGGCGGAAGAGCAACACTCTTCATGATTAATCGCTATATATATGTTATAGATGTCAGGGCCTGATTATGGTCAATGGTAGTCCACCATGAGCTGTGCATCGGATGGTTCTTGTAGGAGATGCATTCATACTAGCTACGACTTTATGCCCCAGATTTGAGTACTCAGTGAAGAAATAAAACACATGTGTTGTACAACATCAATCTATTGTTCATGCATGATAATGTAAACATGCCAGAATGTAACACTTAGAGGTCGACTCCAACCTCTTTCACCGAAGCCTCTGTCCCTTCTTGGATCCGGTATCTGAATGCATACAGTTAACGGCCAGTTTAAAGTAATGGTGATCGATAATTCAGATCTCAAGCCTTCGAATGTCCCTCTACCTGTCGCCCATCTCGATGTCGACCTCCTCCCGAGCCAGCGTCCTGCTCATGACCTTCTTTAGGAAGTAGAGCTGCACGCAGTTGGCGATCAACCCAAGTACGCTGATCGCAATCAGAACTCCAACTAGCTCCGCTGGCCACCCTGTGCTAGCCGCACAGACGGTGCCAGCTGGAGAGTCTTCAGCAGCCTTCGGAGTACTGAGGATGAAACAAATAAAGTCGACGCGAGGAGACCTCACCGCTTACTCTGACTCGGGAGCCACAGTTGTTGGACTTGTCGTTCCCTCGGGACTAACACTGGACCAATCCAGGTCTCCGGCCGCAGGAGTGTTAGTCTCCGGCGGCTCGAGGGTGTAGCCTGACAAGTCGATGCCAACTGCGGCTGGCGTTGTGCCTGGGCCGTCCAGGACGATGCCGGACAGGTCCAGGCCAGTTGGTGTGGGAGTCATTGCGGGCTCGAGGGTAATCTTGCTCCAGTCAATCTCGCCGGATGCGAGGGTAGCCACGATGAAGATGCTTGCGAAGATTTGCATAGCAAAGTGTAAGTATTACTACAAGAAGTGAGCAGTAATGATGATTTGAATCGCATCGAAGCTTCATGCGACCGTCATCACTTGCTTCAACGACCAACAATGCATGTTTCGTGCAAGTCGTAGTCGATAAGTGTTGCCAAGGCTCCAAGGCGCACGATGCTCAATTTCCATGCTGCTGTGCGCGTGAATCGTCCCTAGTAGATGTCTCCATAGCTGTCGAAGGGGAGTCGGACCCTTGGACGAGCAAGTAGTCGCGGAACTGGTCCGGCAGGTACAAGAATCGTTACTACGTCTTATTTTTCTTTTTGAGTGTAATTTTCCATGGATGGTTTCAAATTTCAAATTGAAACCGGACCACAATCTCCAGTGGAGATATAGTCGGTATCACGGATCATTCCATGGCCCGAGGGCGGGTTTGTCGAGTTCGACGAATGGGTGGGACTGCGATGAGCGACGTGATTTGCACTGTTTAGTTTTTGCAAATGTCTGACCCTGACCTTAGTGACGACTCGAACGAGCCCCCAAAGCCTAAACGAGAGTTCATATTCTACAAGGAAAGATCTCTACTGTACCGACTGGACGGTCCTCTGTGGTTCATACTGCATGCTTGGCTGGTCACTTATATAGACATTAGAGAGGATGGGGAGTTGGAACACTTCGTTCCATTGGTAGTAATGATAGTGGGTCAGATCACACCTGTGGTGGCTTTGATATACATTCGATATATAGTGTTATATACTCGTTAAAGAGTGTGTACATATAGTATCTACTTTATCGCTTCAACATAGTGTTGGAGGAATATATGTTCGCTTTCCTCAGCTGAGCTCAGGAGTTCGCTCACTAGTTATACAAGTTTATATACGAATTCGGGTAGAAGTGTACAGCAACCAATGGGAATTCCTCAAAATTTTCTCAGAATTTTCATTTTCTCAACGGCACATGTGCATATTTTCTCACACTGGCCTTATAATCGAGTACGTTATATCAGTGAAGTAACTAGTACGCTCATCTATTTGAGCTTATTATCATCCCTTTCGATTCATAACACGGTGCTCTATGGGTCGTGTACTGAGAGAGTATTCCGTCATCGGAGGTGTCTCTGAGAGAGATGTTCAATAAACTGATGTGACTTCTCGGAAACTATGCAGGAACGTGCTGATTTTTATCTGTAGAAAGGGGTGGCGTCTCCCGCAGTTCTTAGATTATTGTGTTTTTCTCTAGTCGTAGAAAATCGATATAGTAGCGATAACTAATAATTAACTTTTCTTAGTGGGTACTTCGTCCTCAGGTCCTCAGTGGCCTATCACATCTCTTGGTGCATTTAATGAGCCATTGGTCGGTCACAGCGCGGTGCCTTATAGCATATACTCGCCGGCCTTCCTACACCCAGGAGGTT